GATGCTGAGTTAATTCATCCTTCCAAGGCCCCTTTTGGAGCACTAGTCCTATTCCAAAAGAAACATGATGGATCTCCTTGGCTCTACATTGACTACCGGGCCCTCAACAAGCTTACTATCAAGAACAAGTATCATATAGGGGTGTCAATTGGACTGGATTTAGTCCAATCCACTCCAGTTCAATATTGATTCATTTACAAATGGACTGGACTAAATCCGGTTCAAACCCCATACAAATCGAATCCAATCTAGTCTACCTGAAATGCAAATGGATTGGATTGGACCCAATCCAGTCCAAATTAAATGTTTCCCTCAAAATATTTTCCAGAAACAAAATGTTTTCCTCATAAAACAATACTCAATAAGGAATAAATTATTTCCTTAATTTCTTAGAAAATAAACAAAATGGTTTCCATATTAAGAGTTTGTGTCACCAACTTGGTGGACTTCACCAAACAAAAGATTGGGTCATACTCATACAGTGTGTCACCAACTACAGGATGATACTGTCAAATGCCTGGTTCAATAAAAGATTCAGTGTGTATATTATCAGTTTTTATATCAGCCCAATTTAAGACGATTAATTTGACCATTCACAAGTCCATCGGTTTTGAGTGAAAGATATCACCACAAAGACAAAAACATGAAATTTATAGTTACTAAACGGTGATTGTCAATGCATAGATACAGAGTACATTTTGTCTTCAGTAAAGATTTACTATTAATAGGCATAATGTACAAATATTTTTGAGCTGCTAAGCATCTTCATTATCACTCATATTTGGTGTTTCAAGGTAAAATTCCGACTCAGCTCCATCCACGATCCTCCCCCTGTTTCGGTTATCAGATAGAAAAATACAACATAAAACAAATTATTTGGTGTGTGGACTGTAGAGATCTATAAATGAAAGAGAAATATAGTAGTAAAATAGAAATACTGGCATTTTTTTTATCAATAACAAGAATACTGACAATTTTTTTTACTAGGAAAACATATTCCTAGAGATTTTCTGATTTTATGCGTATTGAACGAAGATGCCAATGGCCATAGTTTAATGCACACTAATGACATAAAAATGCAAAGTCATCTAAAAACTAGAATAATGATTAAACTTTGATTCAATCAGGAAAGGAAAAAAAAAAGTCATTACTCAGTTTTAAAAGTACAAAAGAAAGGATTTTCTGGCTTTCCTTGATTCTCTAATTGCCTCCTTAAGTCATCCAGCCACTTCAAAGTCCAGAATCTTCCAAAAGAAAACATAACATATTAGAAAGTACTACTAAACAAAATGGAACTAAGTACTGAAAACATATGAGACAAGCAAACATAGTGAAAGGTTGCGGTTACACCCAACTCTTTCTAATAACTAAGAGTGATCAGGTGAACTTTACTGCATAGTTAAAAAGGAATAACTCTAGAACAAAGTGTAGAAGCAACGAGGCAATTATTTTAAGTAGATCTAGAAGGGGTAACTTAACAACTAGTGGGCCAATCTCTGTACAACAATATGACAAGTTGGTCTTTTTGTTTCTTCCCTTTCGTTCTAAGATACAAGATATGCTTCTTAGTATAAACAATATCCAGATAAAGTGAGTGTGTACTATGTAATTTACATGTGCACAAAACCACATTAAGTTTAGAAATTAGACTCCATCAATTAAGTTTAACCACATTATAAGAAGCAACATAGAATGACAAAGTGCATTAGAAACCCCAGAAAAATAGGAAAACAAAAGAAAATTAAAAGATAAATATGAACAATTTACCTGCATTAGTTGTTTTTACCTATAATAAATTGTTGAAGCTATAGATTCATTCTCATTAAGGAAAGATGTCCAAGGGCTATAGATTAAATTGAGTGGGGGAAACTATGACATTTCATCCACCAACATCACCATCAGCACACCATCTGAGTGTCATCAAGTGTCTTGGGTGGGTCATTGTATGCTTTTTGTATAGGGGAAGTATGCCAATGGCAATATTGTAAATAGTAGTATGATTATTCAACATTTTATCTTGAAAGATATATTTTATTAATATTAAACCAAGATAATAAAGTCCTTCACCTTGGGTATCCCATCTTGATATTCATTAAGTACAAAAGATGATAGGCAATGAGATTTAGCTAATTGGGATACCTTGTGGGCAGTACTGTTAAACTTCCTATTTACAAAGCCAAAAGAGACGTGTCTAAACTTTGAAATTAAAGAACTGATACTAAACAAAAGCCACTGGCAGGACCAGGGTAGATCTGTCTTTTGCTGAAGCGCTTGAACTACTTGCTGAGCATCAGTGTATATACAAACTTCTTGAATTTCCCAGATTGAAAGTTCTGATAAATTTTGCAGAATAGCATACAATTCAGCTTGAATTACCGAAAAAAATTTGGTTGGTTCTACCTCTAATGATTTTCAAGCAAGATAGGTTTTTTGAGAGACAAATAGCACCATATGTATATAGAGAATTTGAGATTTTCCCTGCATCAATAAACACAATAAGATCCAAATTTTGGGATATGCTAAGAGTAACTTTATCCATTGAGTATTGACTTGGGGGAGCATCGATGTTGGAATGAGAATTTGACTATAAGCAAGAATTGTTAATTTGATGCAGTAGATTGGTAGGTCGAATTAATCTGTTTTTAAAGCTCTTTTCATTCCTGGCATACCATATGTAATAAGAAGCTATAACTATCTAGTTGAAAATATTCATAAATAGAGAGCAATCTGCAGTTTAATTGTAAAGAGTTTTAATACAAAATATCCAGGATCCTTGAAATATAAATTTGTAATGAATATTCCAAGGGTTGGCAAATAGGATTGCTTGGGTATAATTGCAATTCATTAATAAGTGATTTAAAGTTTTAGCTTCTAGATCACAGAGGACACAAGTTTTGTGTTGATTGTCTTGAAATATCTTATCTTTTACAGGAATGAAATTATTAAGAATTCTCTAAAACAGAAGTTGAAAATGGGGTGCAGTTTTTAGTTTCCAAAGCTTTTTAAGACAAAAGCTGAGATCTAGGTCTATAGATGGACAAGATAGTCCTTGGTTCTTCTTGTATTCTTCCTTTACTGTAAATTTGCCTGAACTATGTTGGAACCAGATCCACGAAGTTGGATGGGAAAATGGGGTATTCAAAATCCTTGTTGCTTCATCAGTAGCAAATAAAGAAATAATAACGTCTCGATTCCATTGACCATTCTGAATAAGATGGTTGATATTCAACTTTTGAAATTGGGGAGCTAAAGGAAGAGAAATCCAAGAAAATTGATTTTGTGCTTGAACCCAAGGTCGTTGAGAAATTGGAAATTTAGAGTCTTCCTTAATTAAAGAAAGACATTTAGAGGCAAGGTCAATAAGAGTTGGGGCTACTGATTTCTAAAAATTGGAACCTGAAGTTGTGATAGAGTAGGGAAACAAAGTATGGTTTTTTAGGTATTTCGATTTCCAAAGATGAGCCCATAGATTGTTTTGTTCATTAAGAAATCTCCAGGCTGTTTTCTTGAGTAGAACTTTATTAGTTAATTGGAGATTTCTGCAACCTAAACCTCCCACAGCTTTAGGTAACATTAGGACATTCCAAGCACACATGGTACGGGTGAGGTTTTGATTTTGAAGTTCCCCACCAGAAGTTTTTGATTATTTTGTCCATCTGGTCAGTAGTTTTCTGGGGGAATTTAATTAAGGTCATGGCATGGAGGGGAATAGATTGTAAAACAGAATGAATTAATATTTTTTTCTCAGTCTGACCGATAGTTGAGGCTCTCAAAGAGTTGAGTTTTGCTTGCATGTTATCTAGACAAAAGTTAATTTGGAATGTTTATTCTTAGACCAGAAGAGAGGGAGCCCTAGATATTTACAATTCTTATGCAAAGGTTTTACTTTCAGTTGTCTCCTAATTATACGTTTGAACTCTTGGATGAATATTTTTGCTACAAAAAATATTGAAGGTATCAAAGCTCCAAAAGCTTAAGTTACTATTTGTGGGGAAATAGATAATTGAATAGTGTCAAGATCATGTAAAGATTAACAAAAACTTGTATGATTGTAATTATCATCATTCTATACAATATAAAAAGCCTTTTATCTAATTTGTATGCATTTGTTATTGATTTATTGCTTGCATTTTTTACTTTTTTACTTTGTAGGCTTACTCGTTGACTAACGAATACTGTACGGGCTCCATAGTAGGGGTGAGCAAAAAAATTAAAAAACCGAATGGATCGAAACCGAACGGAAAAATTGATTAATCAAACTGGTCAGCTCATTCGGTTTCGGTTAACCATTTAAAAAAATCAACGGTTAACCGAATCCACGGATATATACAATAATATATATTTATATATTATATACTTTTAATTTTTTTTTTAAATCGAATAAAAGATTTTCATTTATTCGACGCCTAATCGCCTACTGTACCTATTTATTAGCTGCAATCTAAGAGACTTTAGGTTCAAATTTTAATTTATTAGCTACCTACCAATAAATTTATTCGGCAATCTGCCTTGCTAGAGTGCCAACTTATCTTTTCCATGACTGCCAACTGTCTTTTTCAGCTTTCTCTTTTTTTTTTCTCTCTCATTTTTCTATTTTTCTATTTTTCTCTTCTCTCCGTTTTCTTGTTATAAGTTCTCAATTTTCTTCTCTCGTTCCCTCAGTTCTCTTCCACTCCAGAGTCTAGACGGCCGCACGGCCCGCGCCAATCACCAGCACGGCAACGACGGTCGCCGCCTCACCGGCAAGCAAGCATCAACATCTAATCAATCCGGCAAACAAGCACCAACGCCGTCTCACTCTCTCAATTCTCTCTTCTCTCTCTCACCTTTTTTCTCTGCATCTCCACTAGGCAACAGCTACACCACCTCTCAGGCTCTCATTCAGGTGACACTCGTCGGCAACCACCGGCACTGACAACAATCAACAGCACCAACAGTCTGACACCAATTTTAATTTTTTTTCTTTAAGTGTATAAAAAAACCGAAAAACCGAATCACAATTAACTAATCTATCGATTAATCGATGAACTGATTAACCGATTGCATTGATTCGGTTTCGATTTGCATATTTAAAAAATCGATCAAATCAGTTCGATTTGAAAAAATACTCCAACCGAACCGTGGGCACCCCTACTCCATCGTACAATCTCGTGACAATAGGGTCCTGCTTGTCTTTTTTCCCCTTTATTAATGGCTTGGCTTTCCTTGATTGTCTATTAATGGGTCCGATCCCATCTCATGATAAATGGGTTGAGTTAAAGCCTGGCCCATGGTGGGCTTGGATGCACATAATTGGAAGGATAGATGTTGGATGGAGATCGGATTTGGAATTTAAGTGTGTGGGTTGTGAAAGGTGGTGGTGGTGAAAACGAGTGTGAGTGCGAGTGTGAGAGGGAGTAAGGGGATATCCATGGAGGAAAACATATGGAGGGAGCAAGAAATGGAGGCGTGACCAGGCTTCCTCGCCCTTCACAAGTTTTCTGCTCATTCTTTCTTCCCTTCGGCTTAAAATAATATTCTCTTTGACATCTGCATAGACAGAACGTTTTCTCGATCTGAGGACATGGAGGACGAGAAAAAATCCTCGGCTGTCTCGGATGTGAGTGCGTGGGCAATGAACGTAATCAGCTCCGTTGGCATTATCATGGCCAACAAGCAGCTTATGTCCCCTAGCGGCTACGCCTTCAGCTTTGGTCTCTCTCTGATCTGACATCTGATCTTCTTATATCTCATTGTGCATTGTGAATTACTGAAATTTACTGGATTTCACTGTGAATTATTGCCAAGTGTGGTTATCTTTTCCTGGTTTTCTTTCTTCTATAGATCTCATTCCTTGGCTATGTAATCTTGATTTTGTTTCTTATGTAGATTACTATTTTCATTTGCGTCTTGGTTCTTGCTGTTCGAGTTACAATTTCCAATGGACTTGAATTTCTTGTTTCTCTGGTTTTGCCTTGTTTAGTTTCCCTTCTTTTGATTTTCTTTTGCTACAATTTGCTTGAAATCTCTCATCTCAAGATGGGTAAATTGGTAATTGAGTATAACTTGTCCCGCCTTTTTTAATCAGCTTAAGGATCTCTTTCCTACTTAGGCTTGAAGCTGATTCCATAATGTTTTCTTCTGGATTTGATACTCATCTATGATCTGAATTGGTTTCTTTGGCTACTACACCCTCTTTTCTTGAGATTAGTTGTGGGAATTCTTGATTTTGTTACTCGCTCGAGGGTAAAATTGCCCTTTTCGTTTTTTTCCTGCGCTTAATATTGTTTTCTTCTTTTTCAGCAACAACTTTGACTGGGTTTCACTTCGCGGTGACTGCATTGGTTGGTTTCGTGTCAAATGTTTCCGGGTATTCTGCTTCAAAACATGTACCTTTATGGGAGCTTCTCTGGTTTTCAGTGGTTGCCAATATGTCAATTACGGGGATGAACCTAAGTCTAATGCTAAACTCTGTAGGATTTTATCAGGTAGAGACTAATGGAATAAATTTATGCTGGCCGCTGGGTGGATGAATGGTTTCTCAGTATAAGCAGCATTAATTATCATTTTTGTGGTGCAGATTTCAAAACTAAGCATGATTCCGGTGGTTTGTGTGATGGAATGGGTCATTCATGGCAAACATTACTCGAGAGAGGTTAAGATGGCTGTGGTGGTTGTGGTTGTTGGTGTAGGTGTTTGTACTGTAACAGATGTGAAGGTGAACGCCAAGGGGTTCCTGTGTGCTTGCATGGCAGTCCTTTCAACATCATTGCAGCAAATTGTAAGTACTTATAGTGAATCTTCTCCTATTTTATTATATGTACAAAGACTATTACCCAATGTTGGTCCCAGCTATTTGCGGGTAGACTGGATACGCACCTAACCTTTGGCATTTTTTCTCTTTTTTCATAAGTGCCTTCTCTACTTGAACCCACATTCTCTCAGATTTTACCATTGCACCAAGCAATGGCTCCTATTGCATTATATGTAAATCGGATCTATTTTAATGCTGACAAGTCAATAAAATTAGTTGCATTGGTCATCTGTTTGGGGGTATAAATGTATAGTTTACGTCTTTCAGCATTGCTTATTTTGTTGTAATAATTAAAGGCAAAAAGCACTTTATATGTTATTATTTATAATGAACCAATATATCCCATGGCATTTTTTAGTCCATTCATGCAATATCAAGATCAAAATCCACATCAATACCAAAGTAAAAATGGTCTGATCTCATTATACACAAACACAGGAGGCCATTAAGGGGGTGTTCTACAATGTGAATTGTTTTTCTTGTTGTGAGTTCAAAAAACAAATTAAAATCATCTGTTTTGAAAATAATTTGGTTCTTAAAACAAAAAACATGGAAAACATGTTCTTGATTGCATGTGTGCTTTTTGTTTCCAAAACTGAAACCAAAACTTGCTCTTGAATTTCTGGTTTGAAAATCATGTTTTCATGTTAATGATTTCTCATCATCTTTTATAAACCATACAATATCTGTACTCTATTTTTTTTAGTTTTAAAACCATCATTTGTTGTTTTCAAAAACATGAATTATTTTTTAAAACAAAACCAACTTATTTTTTCTTCTCAAAACAAAAAATACAGTTCAAGTACGTTTTTTGTTTTTTGCTGATGTGGCAATTGAAAAACAAATGAAAAAACCCATGTTGTAGAACACCCCCTAAATTGTGACACTTCGTTCTCTATGGAGGTCTCCTCCAACCCTTCTGAGTTTTAACTTTTAAATTCGTATGGATGAGATCCTTTAGTTCATCATCATGTGAACATGATATCTTAAGCTTTGTCCCAATATATGTGTTTGGCTACATGAATCCTGTTTCACCATTCTGTTATGTTCATTGCAATATCCATCCTTAAAATATGGGCATTTAAATCATTTCTGATTTCTTCCACTCAATTCCTTTTTAGTCTGCCCCTAGTTCATCATCATGTGAACATGATATTACCACCACCATCATCATCATCATCTAAGCTTTGTCCCAACTATATGGGTTCCGCTACATGAATCCTGTTTCACCATTCTGTTATGTTCATTGCAATATCCATCGTTAAAGTATGGGCATTTAAATCATCTCTTATTTCTTTCACTCAATTCCTTTTTAGTCTGCCCCTAGTTCATCTAGCCCTTCAACTTATAACAGAATAATTTTTTCTAACAGGTACTGTCGGTGATCTTCTATGTACTTGGCCAAACCATCTCAATCTACTTTGTCTCATTTTATCACCTATTGAAGCTACTCCGGTTTCTTCATATATGACTTCATTTCTAACCCTATCCTTTCTAGTTCTACCACTCATCCATCTGAGCATTCACATGTTGTTTCTTAACTGTCCAACACTCTGTTCATCATGTGGACATGATGTATGCTAGGTTAAATAGGTCAATCTCAAAGCCTTTATTGCTAAAAAACACAAAAAGATTTTGATGCCATAAAAGATCAGTTACTCCATTAATTCAGGTTGCCTTGGAGTTCAATGTGGTAAGTTTTGACTAGGATGATCAATTATTCAAAGCTAGTATCAATATTGAGGTTGCCTTGGGTCATAGAAGGAGCATAGATCAAGGAGATTGTAACAATAATGACATTAAGGGCTTGAATCTGATTGTTTTAACTTTAGGCTGCAGGAAGATGCTCTTGAAGAATCAATCTAAATGGATAAAAATCTTGATTGTGGGAAGCGTATGAAGGTGCAGAGGAGCCAAGGATTGGTAAGTATTACATAATTACAAAGAATTTTTCTCATTTAAGAGGACTTGTGGGGTAGGTCTTAGTAAGAAATTAAAGAGGGTGTACAAGAGGAAAACTTTGAAGGATAACACTTGTCAAAACTGCAGACAATTGGTCAAAAGCCATGAATGACAGTTCTGGATGAAGATGATTATACTATTGTACACTTTTTAGAGGGAACCTCTCCCTTTATTTAAAGGAAAATCACATTTTTCAAAAAAAAAAGGTTCCGGATATGAAAAGTTGGAAATTGAAAGTGAGTGGCAGTATTGAAGATGATGCAGATTTGCATAATTCGTTGTGCATCATAATGGAGTATGTTTCCTGTCTTGCTGTGTGTTGGAAGTGATGGATTGTGAAAGAGAAGGGCATGATGAAGTGTTGAAAACCAGGAAGGGACAAGCGATAAGACAAGATTTTGTTTCACTTGATGACTTGATAAAGCTGTTTGATATCAACAGGGTGGTTAATAAATAAATAGAAGTGGGTAGGAAATTGTGGTTGTTCTTTCTACAAGTGCAAGGAAGTTGTTTATGGAGTTAGAAGAGAAAAAAAGAATGAAAAATATTAACACAAGTGCAAGGAAATTGTTTATGGAGTTAGAAGCAAAGAAATGAATGAAAAACATTAAATCCATAAGTGCTGAAGACATTATGTATTATTATCAAGTCAGGTAGAGAAAATGAAGATGGAAGAGACTGAAATTATAGGTGTAGGAAGAGGTGAAGGGATATTATGAAGGGTTGAGAGTAAGGAAATGATGATTAAAAGGGAGAAAAGTCTTTTGGTTGGGATTCCTTTGGGAAGATATCTAAAGAGTGGTCTAGGACTTTAAGAGGTTCTTTAAATATCATTGTTATACCTGGTAGGAAATGGTTGAGGGGTTTGTACTTGGTTCCTATGTTTTGGTTCCCATGATGCAGCTGGGTCTGAGAGAGGCCAATTTGTGTAAAGAAAATGCCAGTAGTTAGGTCCATTTCCAGTCCATCCCTCCCAACCCCTCAGATAGCAGGGACCAGCATTGGGTAATGACGTTTTTCTAATGCAGTTGGATAGAGATGGTAGCAGTGCCTATTGTCTTTTAGCTTGCTGGACTTTCTGGAAGTATTTTGTACCATTAATCCCCCGATAGTCATGGCAAAGTTCCTGCTAGTTTCTCAATATAATTTTTTATTGATTTGTACATCAATCATTATTATACAGAAACATCTCATGCCTATTAGATGCCTTCCTCTTGCGTATTTATTGAACAGGAACTTTCAATGATGATATTGTTTAATATGAACCTCTTACAAGTTACATGTTATGGATGCCCCATGTTTGTATATTAGATGATGTGCATGATGCATGGTGGCTTCATGCATAAACCACCATGGCCTACTGTTCATCACTTCTATGGCAGGCACATAGAACTGACTGGAGGATCCCTTGGAGCCAAATAACAAGTTGACAAACTTTGCACGCAATGTTGTAGCTGTTTACTATTGTGAAGTCCTATAACCTATACTACCTGTTAGTGGCAAAATATGGCACTTGGACCTTTGGGGGAGACGGGTATGGAAACCCATGTTGAAAAATCTAGGCAGCTCACGTTGCATCTGCACATTGGTCAAATTCTTCTGCTCACTACATGCTTATTTAATCTTGTTTATTTAAAACTGTGGTTCATGTTCTCTAATTTCTAATATGAAAACCCACTTGGTGGTACAGACAATTGGTTCCTTACAGAAGAAGTACTCGATTGGCTCATTTGAATTACTAAGCAAGACTGCCCCAATACAAGCCTTCTCTCTTCTTGTGCTTGGTCCTTTTATTGATTACTACCTTAATGGGCAATTCATAATGAACTACAAGTTGTCTTCCGGTGCCATTGTAAGTCAGCAATCACATCTTTCCACTTGAATCGAGATGCCATCTCCAAATGCTTTTTTTTTTTTTTTTGCCTCCCTCTGAATCTAAAAGGAATTCCTCCAGATTTATATCTAACGGGCAGTTGAAAAATGTGCAGCTCTTCATACTCCTCTCGTGCTCGTTGGCTGTATTCTGCAATGTGAGCCAGTACCTTTGTATTGGACGCTTTTCGGCTGTTTCCTTCCAGGTGTTAGGTCATATGAAAACCATGTGTGTCCTCACATTGGGGTGGCTGCTCTTCGACTCACAGCTGACACTTAAAAATATACTTGGGATGGCTCTTGCAGTCCTTGGAATGGTAGTTTACAGTTGGGCAGTGGAGGTCGAGAAACAGGTTAATTCCAGTATCATCGCCCACTTGAAATCCAAGGAAAGCTCGACAGAAGAGGAAATCAGACTACTTAAGGATGGGGCAGAGAATACTAATGTGAAGGATGTTGAACTTGGCGGATCCAAAAGCTAGGTAGATATCCTTTATGGCAAGAAATTGATCTATTTTGTTCGGACTTTATGTTCTGGCATTCTTGCTTCATTATGGTGTGCATCATGCAAAGATGGATCAAGTCCACCCCATTCTCATCCTTCGGCCACCTTTTTGAAGCATATGTGCTTTCAGTTACCCAAAGAAATTCTTTTTTTCCTTTTTCATTATTTTTCATGGAGATCAAGATGGTAAAGCTATAATGGGGGTGGGAAGATGTAAAATATATTAGTTAGTACAAGTCTTGCTATCAAATAGGATTTTTTTTTTGGGTGAAATTTTAATCAAATGGGATATTCGCTGTTTTGTAGTCCTTTCCTACTTATGATTGATTGTCCTTCGGAGAGAAGGCTGTTCTTGTCTATATTTGGAAAAATGGTTTGATACATGGTAATTTATATAATTATTTTCATATTTTTAATTGTGTTCAATATGCGTAAAGGGTTAGATCCTTCAAAGGGGCTATACAACCGGGTTAGCCCATCCCCATCCCCTTGAACACCCCCTACTCCCCAAGAGATGTAACACGGGCCGTGTTGCCCGCGGGCTGGGAGGCACAACCTGGTCAAACCGGTCACTGTAGCAACTGGGCCGTATTGGGTTTGGGTTTTGAGGTCCACGGGCTGGCAAGACACAGCATGATAATGTGAACCATACTGCCACAACCCATAGCCCAGTCCGGCATGGCACGAAGCCAGCCTGCTGAAAAACAGAGCCATGGCAGGGTCAGCTTGCTGAAGAATATAGCCATGGCAGGGTCCTCAATAGCTATTTTACACTTTTTTTTAGGATTTTTTCATAAAAATCTCCCCAGCAGCTATAAATAGTTAGTTGGGGGGTATTTGTGAAATTTGGCTTTGGGGAGAAAAATGGCTTAAATGCCCCCATAAAAGCTAATTTGTGGGGGCATTTTAGTGAAGTGATAATTAACTTTATTAGACCCAAATATCCATCCTATGGTTAATTTTTAGGGGTATTTTTGTTAATTAACTATAAATATAAATGTCCTTAACATTCACCAGTTTTATCACACCAATTTTCATATTCTCTCATACTCTCATATTCTCACATACATTCTCATACTCTTTTATATATACTCTCTTACTCACTAGTCCCCAATTTTCAATTTTATTCAAGTTTCAACAAGGAGAAGGCATGCTCAAGTGTCCCAAGCAATGTTTTCAACCTGTCGTTGACCTTACCAATTGAACCATTCAAACCATCACCCTACTTTAATTTTGGGTTCAATTTTGCTAAAACCCTCTATTTGGTCAAGAAACATTGACCTAGTCAAAAACCATCTTCACTTGAAATGTTGAACCATTGACCCATTTGACCCAATAATCGGGTCATGGGTTGCACACTCAATGTATGTGCATACTTCTTTCTTTTTTTGGCACCATTAATAACTTCTCACTGATCCTTTTTTTCCCAAAGTTTTGGTTGTGGGATTTGATTCCGTGTCAAGGCTGTAACAAACTAGTTAGTCCTTGGTTGGTTCTATGTGCAACTTCTAGGGACCACAACTTTGCACTCTAATGTCCAATTAGGGTGATATATATATTTTTTTTAATTTGGGTAATTTTTCAATATCTTTGATTGAGGTGATCTTTTTCGGCCCCAAATTATAACTTTTAGCATTTTTTACAAATAAAAAATTGAATTAAAAATCTAAATTAAACTTAAAATAATATTTATATATACATATATTACATCTAAAAATAATTATATATTTTTATTGATAAAGTACATGTTTATACATACCTACACACATACATTTGTTGATGTGGCTGTTAGACAGTGTATGCCCTTAGTTTCAATTAGAATGATGTACATTATGACATTTAATGTAAATGAATAAAGTACATATTTGATTCATGTTATCATGGTGTGTTTCTTTGTAATACCCTTAAACTGGACACATATGAGACTCGTGTTAGTATAAAATCTTCAAAAGTCGTTGGATAGATCTAGGGAGATTTATCATGTCTTAACTGCTAGGGTGAGACCTGAGGTACATGTAGTGTGGGTTTTCTTGAAACCCTGAACCGGACCTTGGATATAGATGGGCAAAACCGGAATGTTACACCTGACTCTTAGACTCGATTATGATACTACACTAGGTGTCGGATTGGGCTATCTTTGATATGCCAATCAATGAGATTCTTAGAAGGGGTCAAAACCTGGGTATGTTGGGACAGTCTGAGAATTCATCTGAGTGAATGATCATAGTGACAAGATCAGCCCCTTTGTCGAACAAAGTGAATCATCGGGGATGCACTCTCTGATGGAAACCAAAACTACTAACAGTTGATTTCAACCGTTGAAATTTGTTTTGCAAAAGTGCGGCACTGTACCTTGCAGCCAAGAGAGAGGTTCTCTCTTGTCGGGCAGTGTTTGATCATTATGAGCTGAGAGGTTAAGTGTAAGACCATTGATGGTAATACTTGATGGGTTAATTTTGCATATGCCCACAGTTCTTAGGTTTTTATAAGGTGGCTTAATCCAATGACAATTTAGTGTAAATGTTGGGCCCATTAAGAGCCCATGGTGATAGACTCAAGGGTTCATTGTCTCCTACAATGAATTCGGACAGGCCTTGTAACAGAGACTGGGTTGAACCCATGTGGTTGATGTGTAGATCAATATTTGGGTCCCACGCCATACAAGGATAATCAACTGGGCAATAGATTGAAAGGATAAGTGAGCACATAGACTTAATGAGCCTAAAGCCCAATTCGAACTAGCTTAATGAGATTAATTAAATGAGGGCGGTTCTGGGATTTGGATCAGCAGATAGGATAAGGGATTATCCCTATCCACTCAAAGAGTTCAGATCCAAATAAAGATTTGGATCAGGAAACTCCTAATTAGATTAGGAAGGCTGATCTTTATCTGCAGATAAGATAATGGATTATTTTTATCTCTTAAAGAGAGTTCAGATCCAAATAAAAAATTTGGATTAGGAAATTTCTAATAGGATTAGGAGAACCTCTCTTTAAGGCTATAAATAGGAGAGCAGGGTGAACCTACAGATATACAACAAAAACAACAAATAGTCTGTTGAATCAAGAGAGAAGACAATATACAGTTCGACTGCTTCTGTCTTCTGCTCTTGTTCCTGCTCTTGCCGCCCTACCCAGTTCGATCTCCACCAGTGGGAGTGATCAAGAAAGGTTCTTGATATTGCCTTTTGGTGGAAAAGGTAATCTGAAGTCGTGTTTACCAGCACTCCATCATATTCTTGTTGAAGAATTCGACTCTTGTTGAAGAACCGTCCTATTGATTCTGCTTCACCTCGCACCGTGTCATCTTTAGTGGAAACAGTTTTTTGTCTTCTCATTGGACATGAACACCTTCATTGGAGGTTTACTATTACTCCGTATCAGGTATATCCCGCTACTCCCTTTTGGTTTCAGATCTAGTCCGGTTTGGGTTCAAGATTGATCATTGAAAATGCAGTTTTCTAAAATAGGGAATGTGATTCCCACATGGGAGAGAAATTTTTAAAATTTTGCCCAACCCTCCTGCAAGGTTCGGCCATCCATATGATGAATCTCTTATCCCTTCAATGGCACTGTCTGACTTGTTTAACCTAGACAATCGAACTAGTGACCTACAGTTTTATGTTTTCAATTTAGGAGGCTTAAAAGTTTCATCAATTGAAATCAAGTTGGGATATCAAACTAACAAACTAGGTAAATGATAATTAATTTTCATTTCTAGGGTTTAATATTTCAATTTTTTGTAAAATGGTCGGTTCTTTTCAAAATCCCTTTACCTACAAACTTCAATTACGATGATGTCATTAGAAGAAATATGACCTTTAGCTACGAACAAAACCATGGCTAAAGGTTAAAAACACCGTAGCTATAGACATATAGCTACAGACAAAAAACCATAACCTATGTTTGTGTGGCTATAGCCTACGACTACGGTTCAAATAATCCATAGCTATAGCATATCTATAGCTAAAGTAGTTGTCCATAGCTAAAAGATAGATGCACCATCATATTAGCCTTTAACCACAGACTGAATCGTAGCTAAAGGATACATATAACTACAATTTTTAAGTTATTCGTAGCTATAAACCCAAATCTATAACCATGGATTTTCATCTAACCGTAGCTAACTACCATTTATAGCCACAATTTATTATATAACAGTAGCTAGTTGTGCTAACATATAACCACGCTTTTCTTTAAAACCAAAGCTAAATACTACAACATATAGCTATAAGTTTTTGATAAACCATAGATAAAAGATGTAATCTATAGCCATGGTTTTTGGAAAATCTGTAGCTAAATGTTTCAATCTATAGCCACGATTTCTTGTGAAACCATAGCTAATTGTTTCAATCTATAACCATGGTTTCTTACACAATCGTAGCTAATTATTTCAATTTATAACTACAATTTTTTCAAATAATTGTGGCTATGTTCTAATTAAAATAATAAAATAGCAACAATTGAGAATGCCACCTTAAAGCAATATATGTTTTATTCATACATTACATGAAAATTATATAATAATTTCTAACAAATGATTATATTATTAGGACAAGAAATCATATGCCATGAATAATTTGAATACATCCATTACTTGACATGTATCACAAATGTCAAATTTCCCTTACAACATATTAACGTTTACATAACCTTAAAAAACAAAAAATAAAAAGAGAAACTCTAAATGTAAAAAATTATCCATTGTCTTCAGCCACACATTAAGGGTTTCTTGTTACATGTTTAACCTACAAAGAAAAAAACAACAAAAGTTAGAACAAGGATGACTTAAAAGGATAAGAGAAGATGAACCTCTTGAATCTAGGTTTAGCACAAGCACATTAAAGGGAAAAAGAAGATAAGAGAGAGAAAGAACAAAAGAAAGAATTAGACACTCTAGGATCTTGGGAGGTGGCAATTATTCAACAAGATAGTAAAAGGCAAAAACCATTAATAAAATTCTCAATCATTTATTTATAAGATCAAAAATATATATAATATAGTCTAGGGTTGCAATTTGGACACCTTCACTTGAACATCTAGAAAAAACAAAATGTTACCATTCTTCCACTAATTATCCTTGCCCTAAAGATATGTGAAGAATAAAGCACAAGAAATATAGATTATGAACCAATCATCTCATGCTAACCAAATTAAATATGGGAAAAAGTAGTAGAAACAATTGAAGTATAAACAAGGTTTGTATGGAATTCTAGGATCTAGGATCTTGTAGTATTTGCTTCTATCATTTATGTATGGTCCGAATCAAGTGACACTGTGAAAAATAAAACTTATTCTCAAGATAACAATAATTTAGTTTTTCCATGTTATAAATGATATGAAAAAATAGGAAAAAAATCTGAAAAGTAAACATGATGATAAGAAAGTCATAGTGGTGACAAATCTCCACCTATGGTTATGCTGAACCAGCCTATATTTTTTGGGTGAATTATTTTATATACCTTTTGTTTTCCAAAACTACTTAAGTATACCTTGTGGGGGTGATCCTAACTTAACACAAATAGGCTTTTTTCCTAATGGAACCTAAACACCATTCTAAAGTAACTTGATTTTAAGGAAAATTGAATTCAAGAACTTGGACAAAAACAAGAAGACCGTTTTGATGGAGTCATAGGCCCATAAATATTAAGAGGTTTGAGATTCAAAGTCCACTATTGAATGATTCGTAATGGAGGGTGAAGTGGGTCAGAAAATTGCTTTAAATATGGTTGCATCCTTATTTTTCTAGTGGACATATTGTAATTTCTACAAATCTACAAAAATTTGGAAACAATAAATCAAGTTTTAGATAGTATGGCCACTCTTTCAGGTGAGACCCATGGTCCTAATCCTTTGAATATGTAATGCAAGACAACGGACCGAACCTCTGATTCACACTTGAGTCCTATGGATCTCACAGTTTTGACTCATAATGGATCTCTCACTTGAAACCTTGTAAAATTGTGATCTAGAGCACCATTTTCCAAATTTTCTTCTCTAAGACAAACCATAAACGTAACTATAGCATTTTGAAAACATTAATTATTATATGTAGCTGAAAAATTATTATCCATGAATATAAACATATTATTTTCTATGTGACATGCTTCATGGTGTAATAATAATCTCTTTAGCTATTACCACATAAGTACAAAGTTGTGGTTTTCTGATTCTATCTTTTCATCTAATTTGGCTCAATTAAGTACTTGAGTTTATTCTTTTTCTTTTCCTTTCTTTTTGAACTTTGGTGGTTGTGGTTTTTTTATTCTATTATGTTATATTCTACTCTGCATGTATTAAAGATTTGATGAAGATCCACTAAACCATCTCAATTGAGGCTTCAATAAAACACATGGAGATTTTAAATCTAGGTCAAGATAGTACAGTTTTTCTAGGACTTTTTCAAACAATAAGATACTTTTTCCTTTTCTAGGATCTATCATAATTTGCATTTGATTATGCATGCTTTCTTCATTCAGCTGCTACCAAATCCCGTTAAATATATAGTTTACATACATCTGAAATGTGATGAAAGCTATGCCATATTTCTATTAACTTTATCATCATTTGTCAAATGGATTGGGATTTTAAATCTAGTCCAAGGTAGCAAGATTCCTCAATAAATATAATGCATAGGAAGCATTTACATAAAAACATTTGATCCTAGAGCAGCACATTGATACCAAGAAACTTAAAAGGGTCATGCCCCAAAATTGGTCCTGGCTATCCAAGGTCATTGCTTAATATAGCTACTAACAAATTTTCAATAAAATGATTATACATTAGAAAAGAGAAAAGAATTAAATTTTACAACTTCACCATAGATGCCATAAAAACCTTCAAAATACAGTATACTTGGAGCAAAAAGTACTTGTTATTCCCACTAAACAGAGGTACTAAAATGCAAATAGGTAAGGATGCCATTAATTTGGTTTTCTTAATTCTGAAGCCTCATGTGTATCTTTTCCTGTCATCAAACGAAAATATCTTTGTTTGTGTATATATATTGTGTTCAAATGCGAAGAAAAACCAAAACCCATGTCTCATATCAACTTGTTTCTTTCTTAGAATTTATATAACTTATGTAGTTGCAGCTTTATCTCATATTCAAGTTACTTTTTGTGTGAAAACACTCAAAATCCGAAGTTTATAACAAAGGAAGCAATCCTAGGTCCAAGACTACAAAAAGTTAAAATTAAGCTAGCTAGGAACTTAAAAATCCATGAAAATATGCAATCTGGAGCTGCCACTTAATGAATCCATATTTCCAGAAAACTCATCTAATATTTTGGTCATTTGCTTGTAGGTTTACTACTACTCAAAATCAAATTAAAGAATAAAAAACAAACTCCATAATATCAAAACACTTACGGTGGGCTGAGATCCCACTTTGTTTCTTGCTCTCATATTTCCTCCTCTCCTGAAGCTTACTTTGCATCTAGATAAAGATCTATAAACAAAACCAAAGTCCTTGTCAACTGACTAATGATGCTAAAACGAAAATGATAGAAAAAACCCTTTCTTACCTTCAGTCATTTTGTTTAGATAGATAGGTATGAGAGTTCTGTTTTTTTTATGCCATGTATGAGAACTCTGTTAAAAACACCTAATGGTGGTGTTGGAAGCGATGTCATTGGAGGTGGTGGTATTAGAGAAGAGGGAGAAATGAAAGATAGAGGGAGGAGAGGGTTTCTATGCTTTCAGGATTTAGTGGATTAAGAATGAGAGAGAATAGAGGGGCTAAGGGAGGATAGGGTTTCTGTCATTTAAGTGTTCGGTGGAGGAAAATAAAAGAGAAAGAGGGAAGGAGGGAAGTTTGCGGGACAGAGATGGTAGAGAGAGCGAAGAAGAGACTATGATTCGATGAGCCATGAGGGAAACAAAAAGTAAACAAGAGTAACCCGCGCAAGCACGCGGAATAAGTGGTATAGTAGAGCCCGCGCGCGGCTATCTTAAATATTTTGTTTTTCACTTTTCATTCTAGATATATCAACGAAATGAACTTGGGACAGGCCGGTGGGTTGGCTCGACCTATCCCAATTATACCTGTTTATGGGTCGGGCCAGGCCGGGCTTTGTCTTTACATTAACAGAATATGCTCAGACCCGAGCTTGAGCCTGGCCTGACCATTGGGCCTAAGTCTTGAGCCTAAACCTGTCCCTCATATAAATCCCGAAGCCTGAGCCCGAGCCCAAGTCTGGCCAAAAATTTGGAAAAGACATTTTCTTCTTTTATTCAATTTAAAACTATTTTATTTATATAAAAAGACCTCAAAACCTAAAAAAATAATGAAACATCTCACTCCTACTTAAAAAAAGAGTAGAATAAAGGTTGGACCCTAACTAGGCTCAGGCTCGAGTCGGGCTTTTCTGAGAAAGCTTGAGCTTGGCCCGAAAAAAGGTTGGGACCGATATTTTAGGCCCTAACCTGAGCCCATGGGCCTGAAATCCTCTATAAGCCTAACTTAGATCGGAACGGGCCGAGCCAGTCCAATGGGCTACCCGGCCCATGAACAGGTCTAATCCCAACCTTTATTGAACTTGGACAAACACAAAACTTTTAGGCCTTGGATCATATTAGATAACAGGATCTAGGGATATAAGTAGATAGAATCAGATTCGAATCATGGTATATCCGAATCTAATCTAATATTACGGAGAGGAGATCTAATCCGATCTCACAAACATGGATTTGAATTCCAATATGATGAGGAAGTCAGATGTTCAGATTTGATTTGATCAAATTTAATTTAAAAAAAATAATAATAAATTATTAAAAGAAAAGTAAAATATAATAATTTAAATAAAGGAAAACAAAAAATACAAGTATCTTTTCAACTATTTTCATCATATATTATACATGTTTCTTATAAAAACTAAATAATATAACAAATTTACAAAAATACAATATAAATAATATATTTATAACTAAATAATATATAAGATCACATCAAATCTTCTCAAATTGGATAGGGGTGATTCGAGTTTGATCCAATTTTTAATCGAATCCTATTATTTGATTCAAAGATCTGAAGTGGGGATATCCAAATCCTAGAAAATGGGATTGGACTTCAGATTAGATAAGATCATGATCCAATCCATTTGCACCCCTATCTAGGGGCTCTAGTTTGGGCTCTAAGCACTAGGTCCTAGAGGTGCAAATGAATTGAATCATGATCCAATCCAATTCTACTTGTCATATTCGAATATCCTCATTTTGGATCTTTGGATCGGATTATATAATAGGATCATATCAAAAAATTGGATCAAATTCAGATCACCCCTATTTGATCCAAACGGATTCTAAATATATGTGTGTGTGTGTGTTATTTATTTAATTCCACAAACTTAGGTTCGGGCTCTAAACACCAAGCCCAACTACTTTTTGTGCCAAGCTAGGGCTTTCCCAAATAAGCCCAATCCAATAATATTATATACAAAATATTATAAAATGATAATATATACTTAGTATATTATTAATATATTAATAAATTTATTAATATTTTATTTGAACTATTATTAATTAATAATTAAGTAATAATGACTATTAATTAAGTATTCAATTTAATTATAAATTAATAATTATCATTTTCTTTTGRATTAATAATTCATTAAATAAAGTAATTAATTATTCATTACTAATTTTAATTAATATTTAATTATTTATTTACACTYTATAAACTATTTRTTCGTTAGTAATTTACTTATGAAAATATTAACAATTTATTTGTTAATTTAATTAGTTTTAATTAATCATCATTAATTGTTATTATGATTTGTTAATAATTATCTAATAATAATATTTATTAATTACTAATAATCGTTTGGTGAAGAATAATTACTAACTATTAATAGTAATTAATAATTAAAAATTATTTATTAAGTTTTTATCTATTATATTGTGTTTTAGTAATTTTATTAATTACCTACTAGTTGATCGTTCGGTTTTTATTTTTTATAAGCACCCCTAGTCAAGTGATGGTTCGAGTAGTTTGACTATTTGGGTCAATGTCAGACTGAAAAACATTGGCAAATAAGCTATTAGTCAGCAACCTGTTGACCTGTAATGGCCGAATTGAACCATTACCCATTTGGCCTAGACAATGATTTTGGGCCATTTTTTATTTTTAAATTGTCACGTCCAATCTGTTTGGACTGGATAGTCAAACCAATGACTTGGAAACTAATGATCAAAGCAGTTCCAATTCGGATTGGTTTTTAAAACATTGGATGATATAACACAAAATAACATATGTATATATGTATACATTATCTATAATTTGCGGTCCATGGCAAGCTTAAAGAACTAGCTTACGCCTAGTCCTAAAATTTGTGGCCCTAATGCGGGCCCAGGCCCCATAAATATATTCTACTATAATATATATATATATATATATATATATATATATATATATTTTAGTATATGTTTAAAATTTCAATGTAAAAAATTAGGATTTGAGGCAAAAAAAGTGTTTTAATAAAAAAATAGTGTGCAGGTAAGGTGACTTTAGCACTTTAGAACACGTAGATAGAAAAAAGTTATGCAGAATTATAAAAAAAAAATGAAAATGATCACCTAGTAGGACTGGTTCATTGGTTCACATGTTGGACCAAGCAAGTGGACAATTTTGGTAAATTATTTGGAGAAAATAGAATCAGGGGTATAACCAAACTGGGCAAGGGTTGGTTAACAAGTTTTGACTTGTTCTTGTATTAAGAACCATACTTAATTCAGTTAGGGGTTAGTTTGGTTGTGCTGAAATTAGCATTGAATTGCTAAAAGGTATGAAAAAAAAGTAAAGAACTTTTTGCAATGGATTAGATTGGGCATTATAATTCTCTGACTACCCTTGATATGGTCATCTCCATAACATGACTATATTAATTATTAATTTATTAAATCAACATTTTATTATTAATTAATTAATTATTAGTGATTTATTTATTTATACTTTAAAACTATTAATTTATTAATCATTTATTTATGAAATTATTAATAATTTAGTTTAATTATCATTAACTAATTAATAATAAATTGTATTTTCTCATTAATAATTAACTATTAGTTTACTATTAATTAATTAACTAATCAGAAATGCTGAGTCATATATAATTTATTATTAGATAATTATTTGATATTCATTAATAATTTATTTAAATAATTAAATTAATTTTTGATGATTAGTTTTAATTAATTACATAATAATTGAAATATTTATTTGTATTTTATAAATTATTATCTTTCTATTTATGTATTTATGAAATTTGTAGTAATTTATTTTCTATTTTAGTTATTATTAAATAGTAACCATTAATTATTATTGTTTTCATCAGTAATGAATTAATAATATTTATTAATTATTAGTCGTGTATTTATTTTAATAATTTCTCAACTATTAATAGTAATTAATAAATACTTAGTATCTTTAATCAATAATATATCATTATTATTTATTAGTTTTTCATACATTAATTACATTTTTAACCATTACAATAAATATTTACTAGTTTCCTAATTTTTTTATCAATTTATTCATTATTTAATATTTAATTAATTTATACTATTTTTTATTTCTTAAATATCTTATACTATTTTATAATCAATTTATTAAATAGTTTCCAAATATATTATGTTCCTCAAGGGTAGGATTGTTAAACATTTATGGTATCGTATTTATATGACCTTATAGCTACTCGTAACTAAAATCCGTGGCTGTAGCTATAAATAGTTTTTAGCCACAGACAAGTTTTATTTAGCCACCAATAAGATTGCTGTAGTTAAAGATCAAGTTCATATATATAACCACGGATAGCTAAAATCCGTGGCTATAGCTATAAGTAGCTTTTAGCCACGAAAAAAGTGGTATTTAGCCAAAAAAAACCGCAGTAATAGGTCAACTTAACTTATAACTACAGATTCCTAAAAACTGTGGTTATAGGTAGCTATTAGCTACGGACAAACTGCTTTTAACTACGGACGGAATGACTGAAGCTAAAGCTCAAGTTTTTGCCACGGACAAGAAGATGTCCGTGGCTATAGTCCAAAGTTTTAGCTACAGTTTTGATGTCTATAGCTAAAGTACAGTAGCTATAGCCCTATTTTCCTGTAGTGTGTAGTGACAATATGATAGCATTGATGGGTGTCAATGGTACTATTGTTGATGAAGCCACACTTGTTACTATGTCCAAAGTATCAAAAACACAAAGTGTATCGAAAAGGCAAATTTAAGAAATATATCGGGATATGCTTTGGATACACATGTATTGACAAAAAACCAAAATACACATGGATACATTATGAAACTCAAATAAATCTCACAAAATATATTAATAACAATAAACAAAAAGTATATATGACCATAAATAAGTCAATTAAACATACAAAATTTACTTTAATGGTTTACGTGAAGTGCAAGAGATCAAGACACAATCAGTAACTACTAAAAAATGACAAGAAACTAAAATGTGTACATATAAACCTTACCGTTATTTTCAAAAAATCAAAATAATTTGTCTTATTATTTGTTAATATATCAATCTAATAATCAATTTTAGCATTTATTGACAAACATCTAGGGGTGCTTATCTCAGCCTAACAAACTTGGAAATTCTAGGTTTGGTCATGGGTTTTGTGTTTAGGCTTGGCCCAACCCATATATTTAAATATATGTATTTTATATATAGATATTATAATATGACACTTATAATATATTATATAATGTATTAAAAAATGTATATGCATATTCTATGTCATTTAATATAAAATATCATATATGTATATTTTATGTATAAGAGTTAGGCCTGACCTGACCCATAATCATCCAATAAACATCCACTAAAAAGAAAAATTTTATTTAAGGATCGAAGTGCATAAAACTTGAATAACAAAATAGATTTGGGCATAATT